GCCTGCCTTGGCCTGCCAAAGTGCTGGCATTGCAGGTGTGAGCCATTACACCCAGAAATTTTTTTTTTTTCCTAAGAAAATCTTGCTTTGTGGCCGGGCTGGAGTACTGTGGCATGATTATAGCTCCCCGTAACCTCGAACTCTGGCCTCAAGTGATCCACCTGCTTCAGCCTTCCTAGTAGCTAGGACTACTGGTGTGCATCATCACGCTTGGCTCATGATTCTTTTTATATGTTGCTGGATTCTGTTTGCTAGTACAGTTGTCCCTCAGTATCCTTGTGGTATTGGTTCTAGGACCCCTCCTTGGATACTAAAATCTGAGGATGCTCAAGTCTCTTATATAAAATGGCAGAGTAGTTGCATATAACCTATACACATCCTCCCCTATACTTTAAATCATTTCTAGATTACTTATAATACCTAATACAATGTAAATGCTATGTTGTTATGCTGTATAGTATACAGAATAATGACAAGGGGAAAAAGTCTGTGCATGGCTTTATTTTGTTTTGTTTTATTTATTTTTTTTGAGATGGAGTTTCGCTCTTGTCGCCCAGGCTGGAACGCAATGGCACAATCTCAGCTCACTGCAGCCTCCACCTCCCGGGTTCAAGCGGTTTTCCTGCCTCAGCCTGCTGAGTAGCTGGGATTATACACACCTGCCACCATGCCTGACTAATTTTTTGTATTTTTAGTAGAGACAGGGTTTTGCCATGTTGGCCAAGCTGGTTTCAAACTCCTGGTCTCAGGTGATCCACCTGCCTCGGCCTCCCAAAGTGCTGGGATTACAGACGTGAGCCCCCGCACCCGGCCAACTTTATTTTTTGAGACAGGGTCTTGCCCTGTCACCCAAGCTGGAGTGCAGTGGTGGTGTGATCACGGCTCACTGCAACCTCGACCTCCTGGGCTCAAGTGATCCTCCCACCTCGGTTTTCCAAGTAGCTAGGACTACAGGTGCTTGCCAACACACCTGGCTAATTTTTAAATTTTTTGTAGAGATGGGGTCTCACTATGGCCTTACTATGTTGTTCTAGGCTGGCCCCGAACTCCTAGGCTCAAGCAGTCCTCCAGCCTCGGCTTCCCCAAGTGCTGGGATTACAGGCATGAACCACCGCACCAGGCCTTAAAAAATATTTTTGATCCACAGTTGGTTGAATGTGCAGATGCAGAGCCCACAGATATAGAAGGCCAACTGTATTTTGTTGATGCTATTAATAGTGTTGTATGTTTCTCTGAGTGTTGTATGTGTCTCTGCTTCTCCCTGTAGGCAAAATCTCTGAGCCAAAACTTTGAAGTTGCAGTGAGGATAAAAGTATACCTCTCTTACTTCAGAAGCTGAGCTAACTGGATGTTGGGGACAGTAGCCTTAGTTCTTTCCTTTTCAGGCTTGGGACCTCCACCTTATGAATAAGCTGGGACAGGGATGATCTGGGCCCCAGTATTCTCATCATGCTGCATCCAAGTAGAGCCTCTATTCCACAAGTGGGTCTCAGCAGAAGGGAGTCTCCACCTCTTGGCGGTGTGTGCCCGTACTATAGCATCAGCAATAGGTAGCTGGGGGCAGAATGAGAAATGGAGATATCTTGCCACTCTTAGGAATATAGCCCTCCTCTTGGAAGCTTGGGAAGTGGGAGGCCTATGTTCTTCACTGCACCAATCTGGAGTGGAATTTCTGTAACGCCAAGTTAGGAAGCAGAGTGGACTTGGTTCAAATCCTGCGGATACCCACTTGTCTTACCCAGGTTTTATAGATTTTTTTGAGTAGATGTTTCTTCATTTGCTGTATACCCTTGGGACCATTTCCAGAGTCGTTAAGTGGTTGTTTTTAAAATAATTGTCACCAGTTTGACTAACGAGCAGATCTGCAGAGCTCCTTACATTGTCAAACTGGATGCTTATCTTGAGATTTCCTTAAATATCCAAGACTATCATTGATTGGTACTGTTTCAAATAGTACTTTGTTGTTTAAAATAAAGTAATAGTGAGTGTTTTTTAATATGAGAGACTTTGTATGGCCTAGTCAGTACCCTCTTTTCTGAAATTTTATTTTTGGAAAAATAGTATTTAGTCATAAACAGTAATTTGGGCCTTTTTTTTTTTGGATATTAAATTGTAATATTTTAAGCCTAATTTATTATCATTAAGCTACCAGTTCTCAGAAGCTGGAATTTCTTCTAACAGTGGTTCTTAGATTTATTAGTGTTTCATTTATTTCTTTTTTTTTTTT